AACCGACTCTACGATCAAGTTGTGGCTGACCCCGTCGAACGCCTTAGAGAAATCCTTGAAAAGCGGATCGCAAGGTGATTTCGTGTCAAGAGAGCAGGAAACGGTGGTTGTATTCTGACCAAGTTGGTCGACTGTTGACTTTGTTCTGCAGAATCCGAGTTGTTTTTCACTAATAAGAATCCATTTATCACAGAGATTGGGCTGGAGTTGCTCGGTTCGGCTGAGCAACTTTTGCCTTTAAAAATGGGTACCACAATGGCAGGTTTCGATTCGCGAGGCTGTGTTTTGGCGAATAAACAGTGGTTGAAGAGGACTGCAGTGTAGGGGATTCGGAAGTACATGTAGCTTCAGCAGTTTCTTTGAGAATTTGGTTACACAACTTCCCAGCAATAGAGCGACATGTGGACAGTCTAAGTAAACAAGTATCGAATACGGATTGGGCAGAGAAGGGCTGAATGGAAAATTTCTCGGTGGACGTCGGTAGCAAGATGGTAGAGTGCAGACAGGCTGTGAAAGGGAGCCTGGCTGTAACTGGCAAACTTCCTAGCAAGGAGCCTGGGCGGCCTTGTCTGCACTGCTAGTAACTGGTTTGATCTGGTTGTCATCCCGGAGGTCAGGGATAGCAGAGGTCAGGCGATTAACGTTGCAAAGGAGTTTTGCTTTTCGCCACCATAAATAGCCTAATAAAATAGGTTCCACGGTGGTTTTGCAGGTCTCTGGCCATCTTTTCGTCAAAGTGGCGCTTGGCCTTGCAAATCACGGAGTTGAGGCGATTGCAAGCAAGTCTGTACGAAGTTCAAACTTCCACAATTCCTAGACGCTCAGCCTTCGAAAAGAGATGGTCCCTACATTGCCATTGCCGATGATGAGTGGCTAGAAACCAGGGTTTGTTCGATGGAAACACTCGCCTCCGGATGACTGCCACGAAGGAGAACACTGTGTCTTCCAACAATAGTGCGCCAGGAAGACCAGGCATCGTCTACTGTTTGCGCATTTCGCATGCAGAATTTCCAAAAATCGCGTCGGACTCATTCAGACTGAATTTTCCAGATCCTTGTGAACTCCACTACCCAGGGATCAAGGCGCAGATACAGCTTGATCATAAGGCTGCGAGAAGTGACTAGATCAGACCCACTTGAGGACCATGGAACCAGACATCTCGGAACATTGAACCACTATTTCCTTTTCCTTTGTGAACATCCTGTTCACTGATTGCTGCATCACAACATTATAATTTTCTATTACATGTACCGGTACATGTACATGTATGTGCTGTCACATGTATGTGCTGTCACATGTATGTGCTGTCACATGTACATGTATGTGCTGTCACATTCTTCATCGACTCTGACTAGTCTGAGTCCAGCAAGACGCCGTGAATCACAGACGAGGATTACAACATAGCCTTTTAATCAAAATATTGAGACGTACATGTACCAGCCACCCTTATTATTTCAAATTGCCAGGCACAGCACGACTATTGCTGCTACACTAGTGCTAAAAGGTGTTTTATTGCAGGCCCGTAGCAGCCCCATTTTGGTTGGTCCGGCAAGATTCGACTTCGATGCTCCCCCCCCCCGAGCCCACACTCATACATATGCCGGTACATGTACAAAATGTACATGATTGTACTTCGAAGTACATACATTGTATCAAGAGTACATAACCCCGTGTACTCTTGATTGTACATGACTACATGTACATGTACATGCATGTAATCGTGACCATGCAGAGTGACATAGGGCGAGAAAAGGAAGAATGACGTTCGGCATGAGTCAGGAAAAAGGGCATCAAGCATGTTGTGTCCGTCCAAACAGAACTTGCTGAAGCCTATGAAGGCATAGCAACCGTATTTAAATGCATGTGATAAAAGAACCAGAATGGACCTTTGGAGGAGGAGAAAGGATATTGCAATGGAAAATCTTTGGTGCAAACTCTATCTAGAAAGAATTGGAGGAAGAAAAGAATCAATACAATCATTTCAGGAAGTACAGAGTAGGAACATTCACAGGCATGACTGTCCACATGATCTTCAGCAGGGTCATACTCCTGATGACATGTACATGTAGGTCTACTACCAGCACTACTACATGTATGTACTACCTCTATACTACTTATTGCACACATCCTCATCAATGGTACCGGGTGGACATCAGTCCTATCCTGAGCCGCTCACAACTGTGGTTCCCCCTTTTTTTTTTTTTTTTTTTTTTTTTGGTCGAATATTGGTCCGGCAGCTGCCGGACCTGCCGGACCGCCTGCTACGGCCCTGTATTGAACGCACGAACTTAGAAGTAAGTTGCGACTTCGGCGGTAATACTTCGAGTAGCCATGAAGTTGATTGCTCCAACGAGGAACACACGCTTCTTACCGAACAAACTTGACACTTGACTGACTCTCGACTGCCATCCGGAGCACACGAGGAGCGCGTCGCACCTTCCACTCGGCAAACCTGCAAGAAAGCACCACTCCCTGCTCAATACACAGTGTTTCGGGGAATTCACCCCTCATCAGTTGAGCTTCAGTAGGCTGAGGAAGATTGTGCCTGAAAAGCACCACTTGTATACTGCTCTCCAGGCCAAACCATCACCAGGGATACAAACTTACAGAGACGCTTTGTTTCCAGCGCGACAAACACCTCGTGAAGGCCCAGGTAGCAGCGTGAGTCAGACTCAGAGTCGCTCATGGAGTTGTGCTAAACAGACGTTGAGAGCCAGTAGCTATTCACAACGCTGTCACCTCCAACAACTAGTCGCACGTCCGCGTGAGGGACAACAATACGAACTTTAATAGAAGTATTTAGTTGCGAATTCCTCATGAAGTTGATTGCTCCAACGAGGAACACACGCTTCTTGCCGAACTAGACACATGACTGACTCTCGACTGCCATTCGGAGCAGTGGTGCTTTCTGTACACAGCGCAATGGATAAAACATGTCAAGTAATTATAACTGATGAGCTGAATGCACGCCAGCGGGCAGTCTAGTAGCTGGCCCCGCGGACAGCCGCTTACCTATGCTAAATTGAAGAGGTTTTACACAGCAATGGCGTGAGGTGCGATGATGGCGCCTGTGGTCACAAGCATTGACGGTGGTGGCAGGCAGTGATCTTACGCAATTCTCGATCAAAATACAGGCCTCGTTAGGAAGAACACGGATATAAGACAAATGTTTGCTTAAGAAGAACTAGTATTCCTAACTCCATTGGATAAATCACTGTGTGTATTCACTGGGAATAACATACGGATAAGAAGAACTCCCGGTATTGCGAACAAATATCATCGGTCCCTTGGTGTTCGACCTAAAGAGGGTTGACTGTACCGGGTATCAGTGACAGAAGCACTGTCCCAGTGAGTTGTATTCCACTCATTATGACATCTTCTAAATACTAGATCCCCCAGATAGGCGTTAGCCTTTGGGTAATCCTGAAATAAAGATTATTATTATTACTAACTAAGATGTTCCGACATCAACGGTCAATTGTGAAGAAGGTGGCAAATGTTGGAGTCCGAGCTTCTTGTCGACTGACTTGACTGACTCACGACTGCCATCCAGAGCACATGAGATGGCGGGCACTCGCAAAAATCCAAGACGACATCACCAGTTCAGCTAGAGAGTAGAGGCTAAAGACTTGGTATTTAAAAGTACTAGTAGACTAGAAGTGCTTTCCGAACTTAGCGACTAAAACATTACTAGGAATGCATGAAGTTCAAACACAGCACGCTCTCTCACTCCACCTCTCTGCCCCCCCCCCCCCCTCTCTCTCTCTCTCCCTCTCTCTCTCCCTCTCTCTCTCTCTCTCTCTCTCTCTCTCTCTCTCTCTCTCTCTCTCTCTCTCTCACTCCACCTCTCTCTCTCTCTCTCTCTCTCTCTCTCTCTCTCTCTCTCTCTCTCTCTCTCTCTCTCTCTCTCTCTCTCTCTCTCTCTCTCTCTCTCTCTCTCTCTCTCTCTCTCTCTCTCTCTCTCTCTCTCTCTCTCTCTCTCTCTCTCTCTCTCTCTCTCTCTCAGACTCTCTCTCTCTCTCTCTCTCTCTCTCTCTCTCTCTCTCTCTCTCTCTCTCTCAGACTCTCTCTCTTTTTCTCTCCCTCTCTCTCGCTTCCTCCCTCACTCGCTCCCCCTCCCTCCCTCCCCTCCCTCCCTTCCTCTCCCTCCCTCCCTCCCCGAGGAAGGGAGGGTCTTGTTGATCGATTCTTTGTTGATATCTTCCAAATAATGTACAGACTACAGTCTCATGTACAGACTACAGTCTCATGTAGACCCTCTAGTCTCTACATCTACACGTGCATTGTACGTCATGTTTATCCGTTTTATATCGACTCGTGCACTTGCAGTCTGACTCGAGAAAAAAATTCGACCTACATGTACATGTACTTGCCGAGAGCAGCGCCAAGGCGCATGCGGTCCCTGCGGCCCTCGGCTAGCTCTAATGCCAATAAAAGTACATACATGTAATGACTAATGCCGTAATGGGTATGAATCGTAGATCTACATGTCAGATGTGGAAATAAATTGCGGTTCTGCTTTTGACTCGTGGCCGAGTCGTGGGTCGGATTTCTTTGGCCGCAACTGTGATTGTACAAACAGTGAGTTACATCGCGTAGTAAAGACTATGCTGTGCATGTGAGCCTAAGGCTATGGCTATGACTCACTATGACTATGAGTCGACTAGGCCGCTAGGTGCATGACTCTGACTGAGTACTCGAGTATGACAACAAAGTCAAAGACGTGTGATCATCACGCGGCCGAAAGTGGTGTGATCTTTGGTGGTCCGATTCCGCTTCTTGATGCAGCCTAGCGCCTGTTGTGTTACCCGTACCCGCGCACGGTCGACGCCGGTACCGGTAGAGCTAGAGTAGTGTATAGCATCATCAACACACGTAGATCTACGGTCAGCAGCGAGGACTGAGTAGATACTACACCTAAAAATCATAACACTGGTAGTGGTAGAACTACGGTATGAGAGGGAGCGGAAGCTGAGGGATAGGCTTGAAAAGTGACGCTGGCTTCGAAGCTCAGGCAGTCGAGTGGATACGTTTAGGAGGAAAGTGAATTATTTTCTGGTGTCGGAACGAGTAGAGTATTATTGGGTTCTTATCGAAAAGCAAGATGAAAGTCCAGCTACTAGCGCTCGCTGTTGGCGCTACCCTCGTGATAGGCGCTGCGTCCCTGCACGTCAAGACGATCCCATGCAGTGAGTACAAACTATCTGGTGTAGCGATGCGTGATGTTTTGCTTCTGCACAGCGGACAAAATTCCGACCGAGCAAGAGCCGTACGTCCGTACCCGGCGGCCCTGCTGTGGTCTTAAATGTAAACATTCTCCTAAGTTCCTTATAGAAAATTGTTGGTCTGTAGGGACGTCCCTGTTTATAAAAGCTAGCAACAAGGACATCAACATCAGCAGCATTTTGGGATGAAGACTACTAGTAGTTATTAGTTACAGAGCAGCAAACAGATAATTATGATAAGGCTTAGGTGATAGTAGTTCAGAATGCTGCATGTCATCAAATAGAATTTAGCCGAGTACAATGTAGTCAGATGAGCAGCGCGCCCGGTGTTCAATCTGTATACTGGCTCTCATCACTGCTGGTCAGGTGTCTTCCTTGGACACTCCTGATGTTGGAGCACAGAACAGCTTAGTTATCAAACAGCTGCACGATGGGATTTCCTAGAATTCTTTTGGATTTTTGAGCTTTGCATCACAATGCGGCATCACTGACAAAATTCGTCTCAAAGAATCATCATTTTGCGTGTTGATACGATTCCAGCTTATTGGGTTGGCAGTGAAAAGAGTGCTGTGGAGAATACGTGCGACATGTGTGACTATGAATTTCCAAGGACAAATTTGCTGCTGACCTTTTTTTGTTCTACGGACATGTATAGAAGTAGAGTGATAGGAACGTGCTAACTCTAACGAGTTAACGAGGAGAAATCTGTCGTTAAAATAGAAATCGTTATACAGAAATCGATACATTGCTGTCCTATTGAGCATTGAGAATAAGTGAGAATCGTTACCTTTGGTACATGTAAACCAGTCGATTTGGGGAAATCGTTATAATATTATGCGCCAGAGTTAGAATAATGGCTTTTACAGTATCAGCTTTCCCCACAATATGTTTAAAATATGTCACGTGTATCTTATCCACTACTTATAGTATTCCCACGGTTCTGAAAGTTTTGTTTAATCAAAGACTTGCTCCATTTTTTTTATTAGAAAACAATGTGAACAGTGTGTTGTGTGTGGAGCTAGTAGAACATCCTTTGTCTACTGGATTGTTTCTTTCGTGCTTCATACAGAGGGTGACCACGTGGAAGCTGCCAGTGTTAACTTCATTGACATTTCGCCGTGCACAGAAAATCCGTGTGCTCTGAAACGTGGATCAACCTATGAGCTTACAATTAGTCTTGAAACCGGTCCAGAGCCTGCTGGTAAGCCCTTTTGGGTGACTTTTCAGCATCTGCATGCAACTAGGTTGTAGCTGCTACAACACCCGAGCAAGTATCACTGTGTTCACCCAACCCCCCCCCCCCCCCGGATGAATACAGGGATAATGAGGAGTGGTAAATTGTGATAAAATGCGTATATGCACTCTTGAGTGGTCGCATGAGCCATTTGATGGAAATTTGAGTGTCCAGAACGGCGTTCATGACCGTGATTGAGAGCAGTATGGGACATCCGACTCTTGTTGGGTTCTCTAGTTTCCCCTGCTTGTAAGGCAACGTGGTTTTGACTTTCAACTGGGGCCTGCTTTGATGATGAGTTGAATATCAATCTAGGTTGAAATTCTAATCGAAGCGGACGGTTTTGTCAAGCTCTCTAATGTTATTGTGCATGAGGTAAATGTTCTTTCCAATAGGTATTTGTGTTTTTTCGCAACCCAATGCCAGGTGGCTGGAAAATCTCTAGCTCAGACTTCTGACATCCATGTTTGTCTTCCCTGCTGCTGTCGGTTTCCCTCGTGTTGCTGTTTCTCCTTTTCCTACTGCTGCCACGGCTGCTGCTGCTGTCATCCTGCTGTGCATGTGTGTGTGTGTGTGTGTGTGTTTGGCTGCTGTTGCTGTAATTCTAGAAATCCCAAAATTGACTACTCACGTCGACGCAATCATCCATGGAATTCCAATTCCTTGGCCAGGCTTCAACTACACTGACGCTTGCAAGGACTGTGGCCTGAGCTGCCCACTCAGCCCAAACAAGGCCTACAGCTATGCCATTCCACTAAACGTCATCTCGCCTATTGCGGTGTGTATGTGTGTGTATGTATTTTATGCGTGTGTAATCCAAACTGCCTACCAACAAAAGTATTGTGTTATGAGATTTACATATAGAGTAGGGTATGTATCTGCTAATATACAGCTTGTGTATCCAACTCATGCCTTTGCCTTCAGTGCCCCCAACACCAGCTTCATGTTAACCGTTTCCACTTCGGAATTTCCTCACCAACACAGCCCCTGGTCTGTAACTCCGTCGTTATCAGGATGTGCATGGCATGATCGTAAAGACGGAGACTTGTTGTAGCCTTGATCTGTTGTCGAATGCAATGCTTTCATAGTGAAATTGCTGTTGTGATTTAGGCTGTTTTCGAAGGTTGAGAAGGAAATTTTGATGACAAGGAATGAAAAATTGAAATTCTAAATACAGCATTTCCCTCACAGTCACCAAAATTTTACAATAACAGTAGCCCTGTATCATTAGGGAAATGGCACGTGCATGATTAGGTAATAATTATATATATGCTGCCAGTCACCCTTGATTGTTGTGTTTTTTTTGTGCCTGTTTTGGGTTCAACAGATTGAAACGGTGGTGAAGTTGAGAATTGAGGATGACACGACCAACGTGAATCTACTGTGCAACGAGCTGCAAGTGAAAGTTGTGTGATTGAACAAGACCCCCAACTCCTCACCATCATTTATACATCATGGCAATGTTTTCTTGTCGCTTTCTTGTTATGGTGTACTGCTAGTTCTTAAGCTCTCTCTATAAGACATGTAATGAAATTGTTTCTCAAGTAATCGGTTGTTCTTTATCTGAGTATGACGTGAGTTTCCTTCCGCCATTGTGCTGCGCGAGTCTGCATTGTGTTGCCTGACCATCGCGTTTGGCGGGAGAGAGCGCCGTAGTTGCGCATTCGAGTCGTATGCCTGATCTGATGGCATTGGCTGGTCTTACAAGAAATCCTTACTGTTGTGGTGTTTCACTCTTTTCTTCGACCTGTTGCTTTTCTCATTCCTCGTGTGGGATCATACCAAACTGTTGTCTGGCAACTGACTGCTGGTGTGTTGCTCATGTCGCGAGTGCTGATACACTTAGTGGTGGATGCGGTGGGGAGGGTGCAAGAGTTAGGCCTAGGGTCATGCATGTGCACAATACTTTGAAGAACAGACATACGTGATTACTGCTGATGAAAGTAGCAGTGCATAATGGCAATGTCCACCATCATGATCATGGCGTCTGGAAAGTTTGGGTGAAATAATTTAATAATTTTAAAATTACATTTCTCCCACGCGTAGACGTCTACGCGCAACACTGCATGTGTCACTGCAGTACCAATCCCCCATGAATCGATCACACCAAGTAGGTAGATCTACTGCAGCTGAGGAGGTCTACCGGTTTGTAGCTCAGAGTCAGACCTAAAAGGTGATGAACTGGATCCGAAGATAGAGACAGGACGATGAGGTCGACCTCTAGTTCTAGTACTAGTAGATCTACAACGTACAAGGCTGCATTGCGCAAGGACTCAGGTTTCTTGGTGGTGGGACCACCAAGTAAGTTGTGGTGGCCTGATTCGTCGCCAGCCTGATCATTTGACGTCCTAGCGCCTCCTAACCCTGTACCTCATTCAGGGCACTTGTGTGTCGCCTATCAGCGCAACCAGCGTCTCGAAAATACCGGTGCTTGCGTTTCCTGTTGGCGAAGTGCTCTGCACAAACTCTAGGCTAGCATACTGAGCATGTAGCTGTGCGTGTTGGCAGTGCGTCAGGAATGAAATGGCACATGTCAGTGTGGTATGCAGTGAGGTAGAGGGACTGCCAGGAACCAGCGCTAGTACTAGTCAACAAGAATGTGATCCTCGATGAAAGCAGTCCTCAAAAACATGAGACAGCTCAGCTCAGCTGCTCCGTATGAGATTGCGGACAGGACGATGAGAACAGTTTCTTAAATCTAAACAGTGGCTACCTGTAACCATAACACTGATAGCTGCGTACCCGGAGAACTGTCCACACTGGGGAGTCACCGAGGCGAGTGTCAGCCAAGATGAATATTCAGTTTCTGCTTTCAGCTGCCTTCTGCTTTGGCCTGGTAGTGAATGATGCGGCCGCATGGCATGTCAACACAGCTGCTTGCCGTAAGTAATGCAAATGATACATGTAGCAGTATCTTTAAAAATTAATTTTATAAAAGCTGAACGCTCTTAAAATTTCAAAATAATAAAATTACTATTGAAGTATCTTTTTAATGACAAGAACATGCAATCAACTGCACCGCGGTACTGACACACCTACACCGGCGGTGAACTGAAGTTTTCATTTCTTGTTGGCTGAGTTTTACGAAATAAACAAGAAATGTTGTTCTTTTCGAACGAACAGGTCTGGGACCGAGGTCCAACAGTTTTGGGCGTACTGGTACGCCGCAGTCCCTCATCTTTTGTTTTCTTGCTTTGCAAGCTGGTTGCCTTTTTCTGGACTCCCTTGATTTCGTCAGTCGTAGATCTACCTGCCTTTCCGTTATGCCTCCAAGGAAATCCAAGGCCCCCTCGGCAGCGCAGCTGGTACCTCCAAGGAAAAAATCCAAGGCCCCCTCGGCAGCGCAGCTGACCGTGGAGCTCAATGCAATGAGGGAGAAGTTTGAGGCGGAAAAGGAAGAGAGCGCCCTGAGAATCAGGCTCCTCGAGGGACAGCTGGAACGGGGAAATGAGTCGTCCTCGTCCAAGCGTAAACGCCGTAATGTTTCTGTGTCGTCGTCGTCTTCATCTTCTTCGTCATCATCTTCTTCATCGTCCTCGTCATCAGATTCGTCTGACTCGTCGGATGACTCCCGCCGGAAAAGAAAAACCAAAAAATTCAAAAAATCGAAGAAGTCGCGAAGATCCTCCACCTCGATGTCAGCGCGAAAGTGGAAGACAAGGTCTTATGAAGTGCAGCACGGCCTGAATGAGCAGCTGCAACGCCAACTCAAGAAGACCAGGCGGGACCTGCGGAAGCTGAAGGGTGGCCGAAGTCTCTCTAAGAGGCTCAGAAGAGGTGAGTCGTTGCTGTCTGCTAGACAAGAATGGTTGGTGGTGGCGGATGTGCATGGCCACGAGGCGGCCAGCAGGTTTCAAGAGGGGGGTGAGCTGGTCGACATCCTGTCGTCCTCCGAAAAGTCAAAAAAGCTAATCGCTGCGATTCAAAGCACGAAGCAAAGAGCCCCCACTGTTAACGTTAGGCAGCCCTTTCGTGGCAGTGCCCCAGCCACCTCGTCCAGGAGCTGGGGCAATTCCCCAATCCCCTTCACGCCGGGCGTCACAGCAACCCCTGCCCCAGCAGTTCCCCCCAGACCCCCCAGGCCTGTGTGCCACCGCTGCGGCAGCGCTGACCACTTCGTCAGATTCTGCACCCAGACCATCTCTGCCCCCGCTGCTAGAAAATAAGCCTGCTGTTGTTGCACCAATTCATTCCGATGAAGAAAGAGATGTTGATTCTTATTTGATGGAGGCTGATGGTGGGTGGGATGTGCGTGAAGTTGGTGTTCAAGATGTTCAAGTAGGTAGCCTAGCTAAATGTATGCAATTTTGGCGCATGATGGGGGCATCTAGGTTTATTCAAACCATAGTACTGCATGGATACGCACTGCCCTTCATAGAGGTCCCGCGTGCAAGAGAATTTGCAAACCACCGCAGTGCATGCGAGAATGCCGAGTTTGTTTGTGACTCGGTGGAAAGTCTGCTGAACCAGGGTTGCATTCAAGAAGTAAAAAGGGAGGATGTTGTAGTCACCAGTCCGTTAGGCGTTGTGAACAACGGCAAGAAGCTACGACTCATTGTGGACTTGAGGTATGTAAACAAGCATTTGCAAAACTTTAAGTTCAAGCTCGAGGACATGAAGGTCGTGGCAAATGTGTACTCTCAGGGAGATTATTTGGTTACGTTCGATTTGAAGAGTGGGTACCATCATATTGAAATTGCGAAGGCGTATTGGAAGTACTTAGGTTTCTCCTGGGTGGGGAAGGGGGGTGATCGCAGGTGGTTCGTTTTCCGTGTTCTCCCCTTCGGTTTATCCACTGCCCCATACATTTTCACGAAGGTAACCCGTGTCTTACTAAGACACTGGCGGAGGGACGGCATCAGATGCCAGCTTTACATGGATGACGGGTCGGGTGGGCACTCTACAGTTGAGGGTGCACAGGCAGTAGCGAAAAGATTGAAATCAGATCTAGTTCAGGCCGGAATTGTTCCAAACGAAAATAAGTGCCACTGGGAGCCCTCACAGACGGTAGAAATGCTTGGCATGGAAGTCGACATGAGGGAAGGGATCATACGGGTCACTAAGGGACGGGTGGAAAAGCTGAAGACGTTTGTAGAAAAGCTGTCACAGGTCGAATATCCAACTGCCAGACAATTGGCCAGGCTTACGGGGTATTTGCTATCTATGTCGCTGGCATTGGGCCCCGTGTGCAGGTTGAGGACGAGGTCATTTTATGCACTGATTATGAACCGTGAGTCGTGGCATGCAAAACTCAGCTGGTCTCAAATGGCGCTTCAAGATCTGGAGTTTTGGTCTGGCTCGTTTAGTCAATGCCACGGTCAACCTTTTTGGAAAAAAGACCCCAGGGTGACAGTGCTCTCGTGGTCCGACGCGAGCGACTCTGGCTGGGGAGGTTTCTCAGTTACATCAAAAGGAACTGAATTAGCTAAAGGGGAATGGACCAAAGAAATTGTGCAGGCTGGTGCCAGCTCCACATGGCGTGAGCTGCGAGCTATTTTGTTGGTTCTGAGTTCGCTGTCGAAAGAGATTGAAGGTGGCGTTTGCATTCACAGAAGCGATAACCAGGCAGCCGTGCACATAATACAAGTAGGCAGTTCAAAATCTCATTTGCAGAGCGAAGCACTGGAGATTCACAAGCTGTGCGCCGTGCATGGTATTCAGTTGCTGGCAGAATGGGTGCCTCGCGAAGAAAATGAGCTGGCCGATTACCTTTCAAAGCTGTCTGATACGGATGACTGGCAGTTAAATCCCAAATTGTTCGATTGGCTTGATTCGATGTGGGGCCCTCACAGCATTGATTGCTTTGCAAGCAGCAGAACAAAGCAAATGAGTAGATTCTGCTCAAGGTGGTGGAACCCGGGGTGCTCGGGTATTGATGCATTCACTGTGAATTGGAGCGGAGAAAGAGTTTGGCTGGTACCACCAATGTACTTGATAGGGCGTGTGGTAGATATGTTGATCGTGTCAAAATGCCACGGTACTTTGGTTGTTCCAGAATGGCAATCGGCGCCATGGTGGCCAAAGTTGCGTTGCGGCCCAAAGTGGGCAGATTTCGTTAAGGAGGCAATCAGCCTGCCAAAGTCTCATGATACCTTCCTGGAGGGTACTTGTCCATACAATTTCTTTGGGGGCAGTGTGAGTCCTTGTGACGTGTATGCACTACGCATTTGTACAGTGACAAACTGTGTTTGTTAGAAGAGGGATGCTGAAATTCGCCGGCCGCTGGAGTTTTTCTCTGACGGAAAGATGTCTGTTTGTGGAGCATGTGGTGATGAGCGAGAATGCGTGCATGCAGTGTCTGCGAGGTCCTGCTGCAGGATGTCCCCACTGTGGGGAGGTGATTGTGCTCTGAGCACGTAAGCAACTGCCTGGCAGTGGAAAGCTGTGGGTGCGAGTGAATGGCAGGAGTGGTGGAAGATCGCCAGGTATAGCGACGACATCCCCCTGGGGGAAGAAGGAAGCTGACGAGTCGACTGCTCTGACATAGCCAGCTAGGAAGCATTGACAGAAACCATTCTATTCTCTGTTCAGAACCAGCCAAGGACAACCTCTCAGAGGACATGAAGGCGCTGGAACAATGTCTGCCATCCATTATGAATATGAGTCGGGCACCAAGAACTGTGAAGAAGTACGACTCTGCTTTCTGTAGATGGAGCAAATGGGCAGAGCGTCAGAAGGTGCCTCATCTGCCAGCAGACCCATTTCACGTAGCCCTATATCTGGTCTACATCATGCAAGATGCCAAAACTGTCAGCCCATTGGTCTCAGCCGTGTGCGCCTTGTCATGGAAACATGATATCCAGGGATACTCGGACCCATGCTCTAACGGAGTGGTGAAGAATGTGATGCAGGCAGCCAAGCGCTCTCTGGCTCGACCGAAGGATAGAAAATTGCCATTATCAAAACCACTTCTGGAGCGCCTCCATCGGGAACTGTCAAGCTCATCACTGCAAGACCTGCAGACCCTAACCCTCATAGTACTGGGTTATGCCGGTATGATGAGGTGGGATGATTTGGCCAACATCTTCGTGGATGAGGTAGCCATCAAGTCATCACATATGGCGGTCTTCCTGCAAGTTCGCAAGAACGACCAACTGAGGCAAGGTAGCTGGGTGTTCATCAGCCGGTGGGAGAGTGACCTGTGCCCGGTATCGCTAGTGGAGCATCTGATTGAAAAAGGAGGGCACCAAGGTCATGTCAAGCTGTTCGGGCGTATAGCTCGTGTAAAGGGCAGGACCGCCATCAAGCACTCGCTATCCTACAGCAGAGCAAGAGAGTTAGTGCGTGAAGCTCTGAAGCGTATCGGCGTAAACCCAGATGAGTATGGTTTACACAGTTTGAGATCGGGAGGTGCATCCACGGCTGCTGCAGCAGGAGTACCAGATAGGCTCATTCAGCGACAGGGAGGATGGAGAAGTGATGCTATGAAGGCTTACATTCAGGAATCCCTGCCCAATCTGCTGCAGGTGTCTCAAGTGCTAGCTGTGTGACTCTACTGCTATGCTTTAGTGTCCTTGCTGTGGCTGTCCCCCCGCAGTTGTTATTCTGTGATGAGTGTGTGTGAGTGTGTGTGTGTGTGTATGTGAGAGAGAGAGAGAGTGTGTGTGTGAGTATGTGTGCAGTACTGACGTGTGAGTGAGAAAAGAAGTTTTCATTTCTTGTTGGCTGAGTTTTACGAAATAAACAAGAAATGTTGTTCTTTTCGAACGAACAGGTCTGGGACCGAGGTCCAACAGTTTTGGGCGTACTGGTACGCCGCAGTCCCTCATCTTTTGTTTTCTTGCTTTGCAAGCTGGTTTCCCACCCTCCCTCCCAATGAGGAGCTTTGTACGGTTTTCACACACAGATCATGATTGTGAGAGCGCTGCGTTACTCTCTCTCTCTGATAGATTTCTCAATATTGCTGCTACAATACAGGTTATAAGTTGTGCGAGGTGTGGAATGTGCGGATGCTCTGTCGATTGCTGTGCTTTTCTGTATGATTCACCTCGCACAATGCTGTCACTCTATGAGGTGTTGTTTTCGCTGGACGTTTTTCTGTCTGTGTTCTGGACACAAGAGTGCAACCAGCCTTGCTGTGGCTGCCCCCCCCCGCAGTTGTTATTCTGTGATGAGTGTGTGTGAGTGTGTGTGTGTGTGTGTATGTGAGAGAGAGAGAGAGTGTGTGTGTGAGTATGTGTGCAGTACTGACGTGTGAGTGAGAAAAGAATACTAGTCCTCGGCTGCTCGCTAGATGTATTCATGCTAACATAAGGCCACCCTTTCTTTTTTCGTTGTTTAACGTCCGCGCCCGCGTACCTTTTTGCCTCCGACCGGAAAAAAAACAAGAAAATAGTAGTACCAATAATATGCGAAGTTGTAAATACATGATTGTGTAGTTTCACAGTGTGCCGATCATGACCTTAAACTTATAATCTTGCCTCCTGGGGCATGCCTTTGTCTTGTGTTCTTTTTTTCTTTTTTTTGGCTTTTAATATCGTACGGTGTGTGTCCTAGTAAAAATCCAGATGTAATGAATTCATGACATGCTAACTCCATGCTATGTACCTGTTTTGTTGGATTCATCAGGTATGTGCTCCAATGTACCATCAAAGAGTGTTGTTCTATGCCTGCAAGTGCCGTTAGACCCAGAAATATTGTATATATCACATGCTTTACTGGTCAAAATGTTTGATTGGGGTTTCCAGTTTTTGGAATGGGCTTTTGTTTTTTTTCCGCCCTCCCGCGTACCTTTTCGCGAAAAAAAGGACGTTAAACAATGAATTAACAAAGGGTGGCCTAATCATCAAGATCAGTAAATTAAAAAAAATTCTGTTGTATAAAAGCATCACCCGCACCGTATAAGCAGGACTCGAATAGTGATTTTTAGCAGCACGCTGTGACACAGAACCACGATTTGAATAGAAGCCGCTCTCGCCAAAGTACACGTGTAAGTACTTGCACGGTACATGCGTGAAAATACGCTCTGCACAGCGCACACTGATGTTTTGAATACAAGCATAACTTGATGATATATGCATGGTTTGAAACCCGGCTTATACGGCCGTAGGCACCTGTTTTTACAAGAGACATAACGTTAGGTCTATTCAAGCTTCTCGTATGGGAAACGCACCAGAAGCTGTCGCAGTGGCGAGAGAGATTATTATTATTATTACCAGCCTTTTCGCGTTGATATCACCAAGCAACTGAGCCTGGCTAACTTTCGCTTGGACCAAATAGAATTATTAAGGAAAAATGAGGAACGAGCATGTTTAATGAGGTGCATATACGCATGTAACTGCAGAATAGGCGACACAGAAAATATCAAAGCAGTCCTAAAAATCCACGAACTGTCAACTATTTACTTCGACAAATACAACTCGAAAACTGCGAGAGAGATGCGGGAGAGATAAAATAAAATAAACACCTCAACTCGTGATATCAAGCTTGTGGAAACCGTTGTATCAATGAGTTGTTAGCTATGTAATAATGGTAGAGCACTGTTGCCCTGCAATAGTGGTAACAGTTTCGAATCATAGTCAATATTCGTCTGGCTCAGTTTTGCCAGCTTTCATTTCGCGTAAATTGACTTTCCCATGACTGATCAACCTGCGCAGGCTGGAAAGCGCGGTCCTGCCTGCTCAAAGGCGATGGAACTGGATTCACTGCCCGCCATCAAGTGACGACGGGCAGGAACGGATGCCACGGAATCCACTGCGTTCATTGGCTCACGAACTTGGCGGGTGTTTTATAAAATAAAAGGACAACGGAAAGAGCGACTAAGTAGTTCTGTACATGATTGTATTGTTTGCGCGTGCATGCGAGTTCTTTGCCTTGGATGCACACGGGAAACACGTTCCAGTCACTCATACTCGGCCAGTAGCGCTGTTTACCCCGACCTTGCCGCTATCTTGGCGTGGGCTGGATTCTGCGGTACTGCCCTTGTACTTGTGCAGGAACCTGTACATACCACCACCAACGTTGCGCTCTGCGGCTCTGTGGGTTTCAATCCCTTGAACTAATTATTACAAGTAGTATATGAATAATCTAGGGGTTACAAAACCTCGTCACGGAATGTGCACAACAATTGGACCATTTTTAGAGAATTTCGTTGGGAAACCTTTTGTGCATGGTCTCTAGCATAGCATGTGAATAGGTTGTCGAGGAGTGACAACTGGGGCTACATGAAATATACCTGGTCTATCATAAGTTGTCCAGATCTGAGTCCAAATAGGTTTTCATGCATTTCCTGGACATTCCCTTACTAATTTACAGGTCTTGAATCAGCTGTTATGTTCTTACCCTTTGACTTCTAGCTGTCTAATATGTACAATCATGTACTTTGATCAGCCAGTCCCATTCATCAAAGTATCCTACAGTATTGGCTTCTTGTTTATCTCATTATTATTGTGATCCCGTTATGGCATGTGTGCTATGCAGCAAAAGATCCTGTAGAAGTCGCCTGGGTCAACTACATCGACGTATCGCCGTGTTCTGAAGACCCGTGCTCTTTGCAACGTGGAGAAACCTACGAAATGTCTATCTCATTTGAAACAGGTCCAGAGCCATCTGGTGAGTTCCCCATTCTGCCTCCAGGTGGAGTGCCATAGCTGAGGCGTGAAAATTTACTTGAGAGCATGTTATACTGAAACACTGGCAAATTAAAGGATATGCACAACTGGATTTGTCAGGGTACATTGTGTTAGTTCATGCTAGTATGGTGCCCCCCCCCCCCTCCCCCCTCCCCTCCGTGCACACAAAACACACACAAACACACACACACACACACACACACACACACACTGTACTGTATTGACAGCTACCCTAACGGGTCACGCCGCCCTCCACCCAAGCATGGGTATGATGAGGGGCAGTGGCTACAAAAACAAAAAACAGCAAGCAGAGAGAGATAGCAGGAGGAAGACAGCGATAGTAGTACATCTGGTGTGCGACGAAAAGAGAGATGACAAGAGATACGCACAAAAAGGAAACAATAATTATTTGACAATGAAAAATATCAATTGTGCACTCATAACCATGTATAAACAATTAAAATGAAACAATTCCAGAACGTTTTCGTGTGACCATCATCAGTGGAACATCGTCACATAGTAAGAATCACGAAAACAACCAGTTATATAGCTAGAGTAATATGAAAAGAAGCGTGAGAATGCAGCACAGCTAGCGGTTATGCATAACGCGTGTAGTGTGAACCTTTGAAGTGTATCTGAGAATGGTAGCAGTAGATGAATGTGGCAGTTGCGAGTGCGTGTGAACAAAAACTGGTGAGTGCTTTTTAAATAATACGCACTCACCAGTTTTTGTTCACACGCACTCGCAGCTGCCACGTTCATCTACTGCTACCATTCTCAGATACACTGCAAAGGTTCACACTACACGCGTTATGCATAACCGCTAGCTGTGCTGCATTCTCACGCTTCTTTTCATATTACTCTAGCTATATAACTGGTTGTTTTAGTGATTCTTACTATGTGACGATGTTCCACTGATGATGGTCACACGAAAACGTTCTGGAATTGTTTCATTTTAATTGTTTATACATGGTTATGAGTGCACAATTGATATTTTTCATTGCTATTTTACGACTGTTGTCTCCTCGTCGGTTATTTAAATAACTATTTGAACTTGGATTATTGCAGTTCCGAAATAATCAACCAGGTGATGGAGTGTGAGCACCGGAAGTCCCACCTGGACTCCACTGGAAGAACATTCCACGCAGGGATATCAGCGATAGGCCAAGCGTTGAAAAAGGCACACACACACACACACCTCAGACCTCAGACATGCCCATCGCGGGAGCGATGATAGCGAACAGCTATGTTTTAGACATAGCAACTTGTGCTGGGATTACACCATTCAACAGCTTGCAAGGCTGATGAATTGACCGCCACTATTTTTAGCCTGGTATCCACCACACAGCTGTTTGAAGTGACTTTTTCTGGCCAGCGAATCCCTATTTTTCATTTTTCCATTTTTTTCTTTTTTTCTTTTTTTTCTTTTTCTACACACACACCACACCACATACTCCGGCATACACTGGCTGTTGGTTACCACCCAGGAGAATGAAAGAAAAGTCAGGAAGAGTCTGAGAAAGAGAAGAAAGACGTGTGTGACCATAATCGTCGGGAATCGAACCCGCAACCTATCGATTGGAAATCGCTGCACATACCACTGCACCATATGGGACACACACACACACACACACACACACACACACACACACACACACACACACACACACACACACACACACACACATTGAACTTTGGACACCAATCGCTAGTGTGATGATAGCATTTGAGCTGAGCAATATGGAGAGTGACGTTTCAAGTCACCCGCCCGGCGAAATGTTCGTCCACATATGCATTGAAAACTCTTCGCTGACGGAGGAGGACGATGACAACGAGGCAACTTCATCCACTCTGCCCTGTCTTGTGCCACATCGTACCAATCACCTTCCGGGATCCCCGCCACGGCCAGGTCAGCACACCATCTCTTCCTGGGGCCATCACTGGGGCACCGCGACAGAAGTTCCCCGAACAGGACCTGCTTTGGGAAGACGGCTGGAAATCATCCTGGCATTCTGACCGAGCCACACACACACACACACACACACACACACACACACACACACACACACACACACACACACACACACACATGCACACACATGCACACACATACACACGTGCACACACAGACACACACACACACACACACACAAACACACACGAACATACATACACACACACACGTACCCCTACAAACCCAGCCCATATAACACGTCTTGTACATGGTCACTTGTGTTAGTTACAGTTTGGTTTTTAATAGCCATGAGTATGCGTCAAAGAATTACTATTGTGCGTGCAGTCGAGCGGCGCTATTTTTTTCATCAGGTCGAATCATGAGCCATTGGCCAGTACTTCACCGCGAGTTCAAGTGTGCTACTCGCTGCATCTGTTCTTTCTAGCAATCAAAGTGTGACCATGGGATTTGTTTTATTGTTCTTTTTCCTGCATATATTATTGGGGTTGCCCAGATATACCAGCATTGACATACCACTTTTGGCCCATCATTCATGGGATTCCCTACATCCCACCTGGCTTCAACCGAACCGACGCATGCAGGAAGTCTGGCCTGCGTTGCCCACTTGGTGCAAACACTGCGTACGTCTACTCCACACTACTGCCAGTCGCCTCAACTGCCCTGCCGGTATGTGATTCCCTTCCCGCACGCACTCTATTCCCCCACTTGTGCTTGTATGAAATATTCAGCTCAAAAGACATTACCAGCTGGGATAGGTGCAAAATGGCATGTGTGTGTGTGTGTGTGTGTGTGTGTGTGTGTGTGTGTGTGTGTGTGTGTGTGTGTGTGTGTGTGTGTGTGTGTGTGTGTGTGTGTGTGTGTGTGTGTGTGTGTGTGTGTGTGTGTGTGTGTGTGTGTGTGTGTGTGTGTGTGTGTGTGTGTGTGTGTGTGTGTGTGTGTGTGTGTGTGTGTGTGTGTGTGTGTGTGTGTGTGTGTGTGTGTGTGTGTGTGTGTGTGTGTGTGTGTGTGTGTGTGTGTGTGTGTGTGTGTGTGTGTGTGTGTGTGTGTGTGTGTGTGTGTGTGTGTGTGTGTGTGTGTGTGTGTGTGTGTGTGTGTGTGTGTGTGTGTGTGTGTGTGTGTGTGTGTGTGTGTGTGTGTGTGTGTGTGTGTGTGTGTGTGTGTGTGTGTGTGTGTGTGTGTGTGTGTGTGTGTGTGTGTGTGTGTGTGTGTGTGTGTGTGTGTGTGTGTGTGTGTGTGTGTGTGTGTGTGTGTGTGTGTGTGTGTGTGTGTGTGAAGGGAGATGGCCAAGATTCTGCTGCTACGAGTAAGTCACGTGCCATGGAAATACGTCATATTGTAAAATGACGTGGTACTGTACACCAACAATATCGTATGGATTACAATTATTGTCATGTACTCTGAGGAACTAACCGCGTGCAGTTCCTATCTAAACGATTGCATACATGAAGACTATGCAAGAAGGTGGAACAATATTTTATTGCAACTCTCCGACTTTCACGCTTGCGCAATCAAAACTATGTTGTTCCCGGCTTGGTGCATGCTATACATAATGGGGAAGATAGTATGGTACTTGAAGTATGTGTAACAAGTTAATTATGGGTTCTAAGCCTGCACGGTTGAACTATAGTCCCAAACGAGTTGCCCCAAATCAATTTTTGTCTTGCTCAATAATTATGTGATTACAGAATGGGTGTGCCAACTAAACTTAAATGAAACTGCAAGTTACGACCTGCCATATGACTATGAGTGTAAAACGTGGCCACCGTGTATGGAGGAGATGCTGGCAATGCCACTCATTGATACCACCACTTCTTCTTTGGAAGTTGATCAGTGTAATAATGAAATGAATTGCTGAGGCACGTCACGTGTGGACATGTACGAGCCGCAATGTGCCATTTTCGGCCCCTAACCAGACATTCAAAGCAAAACCGTGCCTCAGGTCTGTGTCGCATGGCCAGAGATCCGCTTTACAGAAGGTGGTGAACTAATTCACTTTGACCATTGTCATGTTGCTCGTGGCGTGCATGTGGAGCGTTGTCTATTCCTCAAGGATCTGTCACTTTCTGCCCTTCTATTATTCTCTGCTTGTGTGTGTATGAGCAGTACACACGGCTGCAATCCTTTTTCAAATTTGGTGTTGTCTCGTATGTGTTTTGTTTGTTTGTGAATTTCAGCTTGACATCACGGTTGAAGTAGGTCTGCGTGACGAGACTACTCATATTGACCTACTCTGCAAAAGGTTCCAAGTGAAGATAGTTTGAAACACAACATGCCATGTAGTGTAAACCAACCTGCAGCTGTTGTATTCCTGTGTGCGTGTGTTTTTCTACAAAATCCACATAATCTCCAGACACTGGGGTGAATAATGGAGTGTGGTGGTTGGGCCCATTTTTAGCTCAGCCGACCAGACCAGAGGTCTCGGCTTCATAGCTCGTGTGTGTGCGTGTGTGTGTATGTGTGTGTGTGTGGTGTGTGTATGTGTGCACGTGTGTGCGTGCGCATTCGTACATGCCAGCTGTTATAGAAGCCTGCAAAATTTCCCCCAAAAGTCATATATCATAGTCTAGGCCTTTACTCGTATACAGTCAACTTGGCTACTTGAGTAATAACGACTGCGGATATAACGACAGCGACAGAATTTCCATGCCCAGAGCAAAGTCCCATCCCACTGTCATACATATAATGAGACTTCGGGTATAACGACACTTTGCGAATAAGGACACCTTTGTGATGCCCCGCCAAGTGTCGCCGAGTGTCGTTATAAGCGAAGTTGACTGTACATGGCTTTACGAACAGATGCTGAAGTGAATAATGGAGAGTGGTGGTGGGGCCCATTAAGCTCAGTCGATCAGAGGTCTCGGCTTCATAGCTCGTCTGTGGAATATGTAGCTAAAAAGCAAACAGACATGGCTTACAGAGCTGACAAGGGTATCCGCGCTTTGATACTAAAAGAATAGGGCATTACTGGGGCCCTGTAGCCGACCTGCGGCGGTAGCACCCTTCAGGGACTGGCTCTGAGCCGAAGTTGAAAATTGGATGAGGTTAGGTTGGGTGACAATGCACCGGGGATAACATCTGTGGCTGAAAAAGTAGAAGAAAAGAAGAGACATTGGCATAGTACTAATTCATAAGCAAGTCACTTCACTCAGCTGTACAGCTTGCAACCTTTCTGAGGCTACGGTGATAAAGTGGTGGTGCATTCAGGTGATCTTGGAATAATGACTATGGGCTCTGCAGGTGGGACAAGGTACCCACAACCTAGTAGGCCCTGGATCCTTGGAGAGCTTGCCCTTCCCAGGGCATCATTAGAACAGTCGCCATATGCACGCGGACCTAAACATAATGCAAGTTGTGGCCATTCCTGCTACTTTTAAAAGTGTGTGTGTGTGTGTGTGTGTGTGTGTGTGTGTGCCTGGGTGTGTGTGTGTGTGTGTGTGTGTGTGTGTGTGTGTGTGCCTGGGTGTGTGTGTGTGTGTGTGTGTGTGTGTGTGCCTGTGTGTGTGTGTGTGTGTGTGTGTGTGTGTGTGTGTATGTGTGTGTGTGTGTGTGTGTGTGTGTGTGTGTATGTGTGTGTGTGTATGTGTGTGTGTGTGTGTGCGTGTGTGTATGTGTGTGTGTGTATGCCTGGGTGTGTATGTGTGTGTGTGTGGGTGTATGTGTGTGTATGTATGTGTGTGTGTGTGTATGTATGTGTGTATGTGTGTGTGCGTGTGTGCCTGAGTGTTTTTGTGTGTACTTGTGCATGTTATTAAAAGTGCATTATTAACAGGAGCCTGCGGGATGTTCTTTGTATTACACTTGTCCTGGGCTCTGCATTCGGCTACATTACTGTCGGGTGACGAAGAAACTGTGTCGGGGGGGGGGGGGGGGGGGCTGCAGCCGTCTACCCTAGGCCGTTCTAATTACATGTATTACGGTCCAGGCAGAGTCACCGTGTATACATTGGTATGCTGTGCCAGGGTTAAATCCTAGCCTGTTCTTTCTTCGGCACCCGGCAGTACTGCATGGAGAGGATGACATCATTCTACTTGACAACTAGTCATGGAAACACGGTAGTAGTTCACAATAGACCATTTGCGTATACAGTACATGTAAATGGTCCACGGTGCTAGGCTCGAGTGACCCAAGTTTGGTTGAGAACAGGTGGAGAACAGTGTGTGAACGATGTGTATATGAAAACGGTGAGGTGCCAGCACCACACTGAGGCCTTGGGACAGCACCGGCACTTTCCAGCACCACACTGAGGCCTTGGGACAGCACCGGCACTTTTTCGTTGTTGGCTGAAGCTAAAGAAAGACACCTAGGGAGCCCTATGCACCGACGCCACTCCATGCCACTCCATGCCACTCCATGCCACTCCATGCTTAGCCACTCCATGCCACTCCATGCCACTCCATGCCACTCCATGCTTAGCCACTCCATGCTTACCACTCCATGCTTATCACTCCATGCTTACCACTCCATGCTTATCACTCCATGCTTATCCACTCCATGCTTACCACTCCATGCTTACCACTCCATGCTTAGCCACTCCATGCTTATCACTCCATGCTTACCACTCCATGCTTACCACTCCATGCTTACCACTCCATGCTTATCACTCCATGCTTACCACTCCATGCTTATCACTCCATGCTTATCCACTCCATGCTTACCACTCCATGCTTATCACTCCATGCTTATCCACTCCATGCTTATCCACTCCATGCTTATCCACTCCATGCTTATCCACTCCATGCTTACCACTCCATGCTTATCACTCCATGCTTATCCACTCCATGCTTATCCACTCCATGCTTATCCACTCCATGCTTATCCACTCCATGCTTATCCACTCCATGCTTATCCACTCCATGCTTACCACTCCATGCTTATCACTCCATGCTTATCACTCCATGCTTATCCACTCCATGCTTATCCACTCCATGCTTATCCACTCCATGCTTATCCACTCCATGCTTATCCACTCCATGCTTATCCACTCCATGCTTATCCACTCCATGCTTATCCACTCCATGCTTATCCGGGTGCTTATTTTATTCCTTCGTATCCATTCCAGTGCAAAGGAAATTGTGAATGTTCTCCATTGATTGAAGTTTTCTCCACCGAATCCCAAGGCCAGCGCCGCTGACCATCCATAAGCACTGAAGGGTCTAGAGTCAACACGTGTTGTACAGTCAAGTGTAGAGATAGAGGCACATCACTTGTAGTAAAAAAAAAGAACTGGCTCAGTGCCTTTCTTAATAATCATTTAGGATGAATAAAAATAATGGGAAAGTGTCACAATACTTTCTCTTCAGACATTCAACAAGTATTCCAGTAGTCATGGAAACGGTGTGCTGGACAGGGGGCAAGGCATCATTGCTGTGCCCGCTTTCAGTTGACCACCTTGACTTGAAGCTCATTGCAGATGAGATCCTTTCCAGTACCAGTGTCCACTAAGCGAAGCTCGACGACGCAGGAAATCTGTTGCACACAATACACAAGCAAAATGCACAGCAAGTTCACAAAAGAAAGGAAGCGATGAGCCTGCAAGTGCAGAGCTCACACACTCTAACAAACAAACCTGTCAGATAGAGCACAAATTGTGGAGGGAATGAGTAAGATTGCGCTATCCATCACAACCGGTCACTATTCATGTCCAAAATGCCACGGCACATTGCCACGGCTGTGCAATTTCTGCATTAATTAATTCCGTCACTTGCATTTTGGGACAAGTTTGTCTGTTTTTACTGCACCAGACACACAGGCATGTCTTCCTTATCGTCTAACTACCGTACTCGCTCGATCAGAAGCTGGGGCTTCTGTTTTTTTTAAAAATGCCAAGTTTGAGGGACTTCTATTCGAGTGAGTGGCTTTTATTATTTCAATCCATGCCAGTATTCCTATCGAATCCTTAAACTCCCATAGCAACTCGGCCCGAGTTAATTTGCACACACTACGTCGACCTGGACACGTACATGTACAGGTACATGCATGTAGGTACATGGTGTGATAATGGCACATGCATGTATTTACATGGTATGGTGATGGTACATGCATGTATGTACATGGTATGGTGATGGTACATAATAATAATAATAATAATAGCACATTTCGCGTAGTAGAGCACTAAATAAAGAAATTCAGTGTTTTTTCCGCTTCTGTCTCGTGAGCATCATCAGCTAGGTGTAGTAGCTGCTGATACCGATTTCTCGCCGGGTGTCGAGCTGCACAGTTTCCTCCAGTCCGTCTTGTCTGCTGCTTGCTGTCGGCACCTGGAAAGGTCTTCCATGGTCTTCATTGGCACACCCAGCTTACTCAGCTGAGCAACCAGACTTGTGGCCAGTGTCAACCTTGGCCGTCCACGAGGTGCTTTGTTGCCCTTGTCAAAATAGCCGCTCATGGCTACTTGCGGTGGCGTGTCCGTGTCCATCCGTAGCACATGACCGGTCATTCGTAGTCGCCTACATGCAACTGTGTCTGATATAGGGTTGCTCTTGGTTCTGCGGTATAGGTCGTCGTTTGAAATTGTGTCTGGGTATCGTATTCCAAGGAGTGATCGCATTTGACGCCGGTGGAATGCGTCTGCCTTGGCCATTGCTGTTGACGATAATCCCCAGGTCTCGCAATTGTACAGGAATGTCGGCAGTACGATAGCGTTGTACAGGCGTAAGCGTGTCTTCTCCGCTACTTTATCTCTACGCAGCCATAGGGCGTACAGCTGGCCAAACACGCGAGAGGCAAGTTCCATCCTGCGCCGAACATCCTCTTCCTCCCCCATCAAGGAGCCAAGCTGCCTAGATGTCCGCCAGCTCTCGGAATCAGGTGACACACGGATCCACTCTGTTTTATCTGGATTTACTTTTAATGACCAATCGTGCAGTGTGTCTGCTATTACAGGCAGAGCATTCTCAAGCCACAGCCTGCAGGTTGAATAATAGGAGATGTCATCTGCATAACCCGTCTCTGGTGGTAGACTTGCGTCGCCAGCAGGGCGGGGCGCGAGACGAGTTCTGCATTCCTGTAGTGCAGCCTCCAGATAGCAGATGAAGAGAACTGGGCTGAGACTGTCGCCTTGTGGTGTTCCAATAGTGCTCTCAAACGGTTCAGCTGTGGCACTTGCAACCTTAACAGTGATAGTTGTGTTGTGGAGTAGGTGGTGGATGAGACATGTGCAATCTGGATTGGTGATTGCAGACATCACCTCCAGCAGCTTCAGGCGGTACATGCACGAGATGTTTTCTACGCCCTTGACCTTACCATACATGGCACTACCTGGTCACTCTAGGCTTCGCAAATAGTAATCAGGGTTTCTATTCGAGAGGGGCTTGTATTTTTCAAACGGTCGTTGTAGGGGGGGGGGGGGGGGGCTATTATTAAAGAGGGGCTTCTAATCAAATGAGTGCAATGTATTGCTAGACTCTCATTACAAGATGAAAAGCGCGCTGACTTAGCACAATCCTCGAATTTGTCGGTCGCAGAGCACACCAATCCCATGCAATCACTGGTGTTTCGTGTTTTTAGTCGAAGCCCGATGATGAAACCATGAATATAAGCTGATAAACATGCTGACGAGTGTACAAACATACGCATGCATGCAGGTGAAGGTGCTCGGTGTTGTTTTCACAATGGCTGCACGGGTTGGAGCAAGAGTATGACATACAAACAACGCATCACTGCACTCACATCAATGGTGACCTTAGGGTCGATGAAGATAGGAATGGCAAATGTATAGGGGGCTTTCGGTCCCAGAGGGCACGTCAGGCCAGAGTTCTTGCATCCATCTGTCTGATTGAAGCCAGGGAAAGGCACCTTCACTCCAGCAATGATTCCGTACAAATGCGTCTCAACACCTTCAATTCCTGTAGGAGTTAAAACGCAAGAATAGAAAGCAATGGCAAGTCAGATAAAATGCAATCATACTGTTATTTTGGAAAGATTCTCTTGTGCTCATCACAATGACATGCATTCCTACACTGTACCTACTCAATCTGCACACAGAACTGTTTCGTCCTTTGCAGACTTGCCGGCGCAGCACAGAGAAACCAGCAATGAAGCCGGTAGCAAGGAAAAATAAATTTTCCGAAGCCGGATTTAAAGGGGAAGTTAAGGCAAAAATTAAAATTTCACCAGTTGTAGTCTTCGGGGTGCTGAGTCGAATGGTCGTGGTCCGAGGAAGCTGAGACGCTCCCTTCCTACTTGAATCCCAATCGAACTCGCGCACTTCCACCGAAACTGGGTGACTGCGCCCTACTAGATGGGGATTTGTATGCAAAATGTCACTAAAAGCGCCATTTCGTTCTTATAAAAGCACGGATGACTGCGATTGGCCCATATGTTGTAGTCTTTTGGACGCTGAGTCGACTGGTTTTGGTCCGAAAAGGCTGCGATGCGGCGTTCCTCCTTTATTCCCAATCGAACATGGTTGAAGAAGCGGTCACGTGCTCCTGCGTACACCAGTCACCTGGTCACCGTGCCTGCGGGGTACAACTTACTAGCCTGTTTGACCTTTTTTGGGTGCAGTCCTGTCACTCGAGTTGAACTCGAGTTGAACCTTGGTGTGAAAGTTGTCACCTGCTGGCGTGGTGACCAGGTGATTTGGGCCCCCAGGACCACGTGACCGCTTCTTCAACCATGTTCGATTGGGAATAAAGGAGGAACGCTGCATCGCAGCCTTTTCGGACCAAAACCAGTCGACTCAGCGTCCAAAAGACTACAACATATGGGCCAATCGCGGTCATCCCTGCTTCTATAAGAACGAAATGGCGCTTTTAGTGACATTTTGCATACAAATCCCCATCTAGTAGGGCGCAGTCACCCAGTTTCGGTGGAAGTGCGCGAGTTCGATTGGGATTCAAGTAGGAAGGGAGCGTCTCAGCTTCCTCGGACCACGACCATTCGACTCAGCACCCCGAAGACTACAACTGGTGAAATTTTAATTTTTGCCTTAACTTCCCCTTTAAACCAGGCCCGAACGTACCTTGCCAGAATTTTCAAACTGACAAGTCAGTGAGTTCTGCGTAACTCTGCATAAGACTGTACCTATGTGTACACTCACGTGCCACTTGTGTTATGTCTGGAGCGTCGGTAAGTTATGCGGCAGGTTGTCCCGAAGCCTGTGCAAAATCCGTATTTACCAACGCACGTTCGCTTTTTTACCTTGTGCCTTGTTGCGCGAGCTCGTGCATATGCTTAGAGACAAGAGCAGACGTTCTACCTTGAGTTCGAAGCATCGCTGGATCTACCTTATAGATTTCCGTTGGGATGGGGGTTAAACAGCAGGCACAGAACTGGTGTAGCATTGTCTCCAGCATTCTCTGACACACGGTTTACCATGTAACGTGAATGATGTTAAGATTGAAAGAACTTCTGCCTGCCATACACGGTCTCAAATTGAAATTCTACCACCAGCCTCGGTTACGGCATGGCAGTCACTTACCGACTGGAGCAGCACCGGTGTTAAAGCTGGCGGACACTTCATAGGTCGACCCACGGCTCAGTGCACACGGGTCCTCTGTGCAGGGACTGACGTCGATGAACTCAACTGACACAGACTCCACGGTGTCACCCTCTGCAAGAGAGCACACCCATTCACAGGTATGCACAAAACACATACACACATGCACGTTAGAGTGACCAGGAATGGACTGCGTTTTGCCAAAGTGGGCTTCTACAAGGCTATAACAAATGCAGAATGAAGTGCCTGGTTACGCAGCTAGAGTGACACCCTGCTGCATAGTGTGGGTACCACACACATGTATGATCCACTGAAATATCTATCGGTCGTGCGCCTACAGTCCATTCATATATTCTGGGCCGCTGAGCATGCCTAGTTACATATAGGCATGTGCAGATACTTTTGGATCTCTGTTCCCATACTGACTTTTGAAGGCGATCGATAAACGCGCCTATTCCGTCAATCAATGGGCGCACTATGTGTGAATGAACTATAGTAAGTAAGTGATTAGTTATGATATTCCGGAACCTAGCATAATCAGACGTGCACTGCACACCCCTGCTACAATTTCTCCAGTGAACCAAACTGAACAAAACCTAGTACAATACTGCACATAATTTAGGTGAACATTGACGAGTTACTATTACCGTAAAGTACCGCCAGAGCGCCCCATCTCGCGAGAGCACCCCACCTTGATTTTACAGCCAGGGAAAGGAATATTGTATGGCAGAGTGCATCGAAGTTTGTACGTTGTGAGAAATTTAGTGTACTAAGGTCTAAGGTCACATTTAGCAGGTTTTTGTGTGGAGCTCGTGTCCAGTCTCCACTTGAACGTACGGATTGACTGCACAACGTGCACTATGATTGTGTACACGGTTCGTGTCATATGACCTACAGACAGCAGACCACCTCCACAATATGACCATGAAAGGGCGAGATGGTGGGTCGCTCTGGGGGTACTTTATGGTAAATGCTGTCTTATGTGTCCTGCTTTCTTCGATATTTGGAGGCTCCACTTCAGCCAATTTATCGTCTCTTTAACACCTTCATCATCACCACAGTTTCACTGCAATTACAGTTGCTGCCATCTCCAAAACGTCACCCTTCATGCTTCATCAGGGAGCATGTGTCCTGCACTAACTAAACACATCCTGGCCAATAAATAATTACATAGGTATACACCGGCTAGGTTACAACATCTTCTGCACTAACTAAACATGGTTCATTGCCTGAAATGACTATGTACATGTGCATGTCCGAGACTTGTTCCGTAGGATGATTTGTATACTACAATGCAGTGCCGATAGCTAGTTAGTATACTACAAATTCAGCACTGGTAGTTAGTTTGCCTGTAGCTGTACAACTACAAGTACGACTCGTTGATCGGTTGATAGCACACAGGCGCGTCTTGTGTAATCCTCTAAATCGCTAATCAAACTAAAACTAGGCTTACATAAGTACTTCGAAGTACGACTCATACAGTGCATGCTCAATGAAATCCGATCTCTCGAGTCAAATACAGTAAAACCTATGACTAACGACCACCCCTCGGGCCCAGAGAAAGCGGTCTTTAGTGGCAGGTGGTCCTTAGTTAGAGGTTTGCAACGCACAACCATATGTGGATGTGAGACCGTCCGTGCCTGGCAAAGTGGTCTGTAGTACCAGGCTGGTTGCTAGTCACGGGGGTCTTTATTAGCAGGTTTTACTGTACATGAACTGGGTACGTGCCGGGCGTTACGCAGCCCTAGACCTAAGACCACATGCGTGTGACTGCGCGGCTCAAAAGTCAGAGCTGACTCACTTGATCGGATTTCATTGATCAGCACTGTTGCCGAGTAGTAAAGGTACTGGAGTACTTGTACTAAGTCTTGTAAAATGAAGTACTAGTACATGTAGGACACCAAAATCAAAGAAGATCATAATAATTGAACTCGGACGGGGAGCCAATTTAATTATGGGACAAAAGGAGAAGGAAAAAATGTTACGAGTTAAAAGATTAACTGTTCACCGGTATATCCAATAGTCTCACTAGTTTCGTCATCATCCAGCAACTTTCGGCATTCTTTGCTGCCGTGGGTCGTAGCTCGTGCTTTTCTTCGTTGCGCTTTCCTTCCCCTTTAGGACCTCTCCTAACCTGAGCCTTCCAAGTTGGAAGGTTGTTGGTTTGCGCCTTGAAGAAGTGTTGGAGCTAGGTGTCAGGTTGTTGAATATCTCAGTACTCCTGGTCAGTTTTGTGCCATTTTGTCGCACTCGATGACTTATAGTATTATCATCTGGTTATCTTGGTGGACAGCTAATAACTCGTAAAATTTTGTTCCTTCTCCTTTCATTACCATAATAATAATTATGATTCGCTTTTGATTCAAACAAGTTTTCATACAACACTCTTCAGGAATCACTGTTGTATAATAATGAGTCAAGCTCCGTATGAAGACATCCAAGAAGAAGATTGCCTGATGAGTCAAGCGGGGACGAAACGTACGTCGCAATCGAGCTATGCCGTTGCTGTGTCATCTTCTATATGCCATGCGCTACTTGATGTACCAGCCTGCTATGTCGGATACCGCCAACCATGCATCGACTAGGCGCCAGGCGCGAACTGATGGTGGTGGTGGTGGTGAGAAGGAGAGCTCTGTGCCAGAACTTTGCAGCTTAGAGAGCCGCGTGTGTGGGCAGGCATGTGTTTACCACCATATTGCCAGGTGTGTCTTTACCACCATATTTATCAACCATTATTATTATTGCAATGAAAAATATCAATTGTGCACTCATAATCATGTATAAACAATTAAAATGAAACAATTCCAGAACGTTTTCGTGTGACCATCATCAGTGGAACATCGTCACATAGTAAGAATCACTAAAACAACCAGTTATATAGCTAGAGTAACATGAAAAGAAGCGTGAGAATGCAGCACAGCTAGCGGTTATGCATGTTTTAGTGATTCTTACTATGTGACGATGTTCCACTGATGATGGACACACGAAAACGTTCTGGAATTGTTTCATTTTAATTGTTTATACATGATTATGAGTGCACAATTGATATTTTTCATTGCTATTTTACGACTGCTGTCTCCTCGTCGGTTATTTAAATTATTATTATTATTATTATTATTATTATTGTAACTACAGACTGTGCTGCTCAACGAAATCCAGTCGCATCACTCAAGCCTGCGCCTTGCATAATTTCCCAGCCCAGTGTTCGCAGGTCTAGGGCTGCGCAACGCCCGGCGCGTACTTGAGTGACGTGACTGGATTTCATTGAGCAACACTGTACTCGAAACTACAGTGCGTTTTTTTATAACAGACCATTGTCGATTTTGATTTTTTAGTTTGTTCTCATTCCAAATTTGAAATTTTTTCTTCACAGCTGCGTTTGTGTGGGTCTTGGATCGAAGAAAATTAAGTTTGGGAGTCGGAATAATAATAATTGTCAAAGTTAGATATTCGGCCGGGTTTCGGCTGGAAATCCGGTTTTAAATGGTTTTCAGTGGATTTTGATTTTTAAAACGGAAGTTTTAGCCAGGAAAGCTCATCACTTGCATGGTGCCCGGCATGAGTTCGAATCCAGTACAGTTCATCTTGATTCTTTTTTTTCTTTTTCGGTATACTGTAGTACAGCGCATGCATGTACATGTACATGCACATGGCTGTGCAGTTGTGCACTGCTGTCTGCAGTTCTCCTAACCTTTGTAGGAAACCAGTGAGTCGTGGCTTTTCACGACTTATTGTGGCAAACTGTACTGAATAATTCAAATCCTGCATTGCAATTAGCTCAATAAATCAAAACATTCCAGCATGCAAGTAGGAAACTTCCCTCGATCCCTGAAAGAATGCAGTGAAAATTCAAACACCACAACAAATCACAAAGGCAATTCACACAGCTCCCATAAAGAGACTAACAAAAAGGAAGCATGAGCAGTTTTACAAACACACAAACACACACACACACACAATGCAAATAAGTCACAGTTGTGTCTGGGTCAACATGTGCGAATAGTAGAAGACCAGCGAGGAACGAAACGGCCCCAATAATTCCGTGTTTTGTGTTGCACTTGTGACGACAGTATTACACAGTGAACAGATGTGCTCGGACAGCCGACGACGTATATCATCGTTGGCGCCGGCCTCCAGTCACGAACACATCGGCGCAGTTTTTCACGAATCTGTCCCGTCCACCAGTATGCAGAACAATAACGCGCTTGCCTTTACCTGATGGTGCTTCATTTGGTTGCTTGCCTATACACTCCTGTCACCATTGTCGTACCACCTCCTAGTACCTGTGTGATACGCATTGACCCACGTCTCATCCAGGTATGTCTCACAGGTAGCGATGCCGCCATGACACAATCCTGTGCTGTTCCATCATTATTTGTGTGATACCTCTGGTCTTGCCACACTGGAATCCCATGGAACGCAACATTTTCCCAAGAGCTAGTTTTGCTCATGTCTGGAAAATCGTCGATGGTTTCTCTGCAGCGAGCAGGAACTTTGTCCAGTGTTGGGTCCTCCTTCGCAGCATAGAATCCGTAAATTACTTCTTATACAGTCCAAAGCAAATCCGTCAGGGTTGAGTGGTTTCATGGCACGAGTCTCACATCGGGGATTGTCACTCTCGTTGCCTTCATCACTGGCCAACGCAGCACGCTGATTTTCGCCGTCAGCATCCCTGGTACATCTGTTCATGGTGGAAATGCTGACGCCACACGCAACAGCAGCATGACGAATGGAATACTTGGGACCAATTCGATGCCCAGCCATTGTTCTCCTCGTCTTCGCAAAAAAATGTAAAACAGACACCACCATGTACCATGGCCCGTTCGCGTTTTGTTATAACTATGTGGCATGTCGAGAGAACAAGTTGCCACGAACGAAAAGACACTCGAGAAAAAGCAAAATAGGGCCACAGAGCAGTGCAGTCAGCAACAAAATGATTCCTCCGGCCACGAGGCAAGGAGCTCGAAGGACACTCTGAACAAGATGGCGAAATGCCACGAGTCGCACCTGGTTTTTCGAATTTCGCGCGCAGATTTTCGTGACGCAACTCGCATGACATTTTCTCAAAAGTGTCCTTGAGTACGTTCTCAAGGTTTTCAGAGTCTATTATAAAAAAACGCACTGTAGTACAACACAGCAGGATGGGCAGATGGAATACCGTCCGGGAAATGCAGGTTGACCCCCTCTCTCCCCTCAAATCGTACTTGAATGATTCCGAGCTAGACTGGAAACGAACTAATTACTTACTGCAAGGGATGAATTTGACGTGCAGTGACGAAACGCTAGCCACCATGAGAGCAGCGACGAAACCTAGTAGAATCTTCATGGTGAACTGACACTTCAAGCAAGAGTATCGATAGCACACGATCGTTCACGTTGAACAGCACAACCAGAAAAAGCACCGAGAGCAAGACAGACACTCTTTCTCGCTCACAACTATGTTACTTGCGCTCAGTCCGTATTTATACCGCTGTGTCCGTGGTGTGTTGAAGCGGAACCATACCCATCGATCGCACCATGTAGATCTACCATGTTTCACAGCAGTCAGTCAGCACCTGGATTATTTGCCTGCACCTCGTGACTTGTCTCTGAGCTGAGCTAGCTGATGCCGTGATGAGAGCTCGTCGGCTACATGGCACGGCTGATTCAGACTGCAAAAACCCGTGCACAGCATCTCGGGTTCGAGGCCAGACCAGCAGTCACCGAAGTAGGGGATTTTCCCGTACTCAAGCGTACTCAAGGGCTGAGAATTTTCGCAGGGCCAGGTCTCTACACGCGGCTTCTCGGCCTCACCGAGCGGAGCCTGAGGCACTGAAAACAACAAAAATAGCATCGTGTGAGAGTACAGTAGCTGTAGTACAATCGCGTGTAAAAAACGAATGCTTCTTTCTTCGATCGAGCGACTTTTCAAGCGTTTCTTGTCGATTTCTTACTCAGTGTTGAGCGGATCTTTTGCTGTACGTAGGTCAGGGAAACTGCCCTGGGTAGCTAGTTCGGGAAGTTTTGGTGGAGGCGAGGGAAGTTTATTTGTATAGCGGAAACCTTCATCTACAAAATACGTTAGTGTCATTGTGATCTGTAGGGTAGTTTTGTGTGCATGGTGTTCTTTCTGACGTCTCTTATGGCTGAACAATGAGCTCTGATTTCAAAAATTTGAATTTTCACCTTGAGCATGTGGGTATGTTGTGTTGCTTGGGTGGATGTAAACTTCCCAGCCATCGGAGTGGTCGGAAGTCTTGGAGCCCCCTATTTATCTAGTGAAAGATTATGCATTGCAGATCTTTCTAGGTCTCAAGGTAGAAAAAGATGAAAGTGGTGTCCACCCCATACATTTCTGTAGGGCATGCTTACTATTTATCCAGGAGTCAGCAGCAAGTGAAACACCGTGTGATGTTGGTGGTAATGGTAAGGGAGGGGATAATGGTGGTGGTGGCTGTAGCAAGGCTCTGCCAAATGTACTAGCCTGGATGCCGCACACAGATGATAAATGCATTGTATGTGGGTGGATTGAGAGTGCAAGAAAGGGAGGTACAGTAGACCAAAGAAGGAGAAAAATCTTAAGGGGGGCGTGCTCGGTGGATAACAAGAGCCAAAACACCGTGGAGAGTTTGTTGGGTGTCGATATTGACGAAGCCACACTGTTCGGGCGAGCCACGCCTTCGCATGTATGTACTCTTGGAGAGGAAGGAGGTGAATCAATACACCACAAATTTAACCTCCCTCGCCCTGGCCAAAACACCGGGGAGAGTTTGTTGGGTGTCGATATTGACGAAGCCACACTGTTCTGGCGAGCCACGCCTTCGCATGTATGTAGTGTTGGGAGAGGAAGGAGGTGAATCAATACACCACAAATTCAACCTCCTTCGCTCTGGCCTGCAGAACACAAACAAAGATGTTGACCGTCTGAAGGTCTTGGTCATGCAGTACCTAACAACCACACTGCCGACACACAATAAGCTAATAACAAAGTTAGCTCCTCCAGCTAAAAGGAGAAGAAGCACTAACACCAGTGCTTACTTTGTAATGCACAACAATTGCAGTATTAAAGCCAAGGGAAAATTCCCAAATCTAGCTACCTGTGGAGACATGAACTGTTTTGTCGCTCACAACATCAGAGCGGGTGGTGGCGGCCATAGGCATAGGTAGGATACATTCAGAAATCATTTGAACAGCAAAACCGTAACTTCAAACATGAAACAGAAGTCAAATACAATGCAGCGATGCAATTTGAAATCAAAACTGTTCTGCACCACTGAAATCGAATTTACTCCTTCTTATACTGCACCTTCTTTACTGCTGATGTTCAGCCACTGTGCAGATCCTGCTGTGCTAGCCTTGTGATCTCATATCAGAATCCAGCCAGAATAGAACAGCAACTGCATGGGAGCATGCCTGTCCCAGGCCCGCCATGCAGATGCAGTGTGCCAACAGAACAGCACCAGAAAGGAGGGGACTTGTCAGAATACTCAAGCGAGTGTCCATGAAAATTCTTTGCTTCCTCCCGCCAGGTTGAGAATCACGTGCACTGATTCAGCCACCAGGTGGCATGCGTCAACACATCTATTATGTCAAGAGATTTTCGGGTAGCCCTGAACTAAACTCTAAATGAACGTACAGTTCAGGTGCTGAGCACGTGCAGGAACTACACAACGTTCCTCGGCCACAGGCAAGTAGAGGAAAATGCACTGTGACATGATCCGGCGTAATACAAGAACTTGAACTACAATTGTAGAAGTAATAACAATAGTTCCAGCACGAAAATGATGTTGTGTCGAAGAACGGCATAAACCGAAGAGTTACTGGGTCTGGCAGATGTCGCCTTCATCCGTGTTTTATCGAAACTCCACGTTCAAGACAGCGAAGACTACACTTCAAAACCACTTGACTTGGCCTACAACGAGACGAACCGTCTAAACAACTAACTTGACAATGTTTTTTTTGTAGCTCATGTAGCTCTTTTGGCACCAAGCAAAAAAAATTTTCCTTGCACTGCGTGTAATCTCTGGGTGAGCACCGCCAAGGCGTTATAAAGGTGGATTTTACCAAAAATGTGTAAAAGGACGCCATCTTGCCTTTTGGATCACGCGAAACAGCCGTGATGGAGACATAACAGGGGTGAATCGTGCGACACTTCACCGGTTTCGTCCAATGCCATGCCCCTTCGATCGATCACGCCACCCTATCGCCATGCGCTGCCTAGAACGAAAAGTTCGACTTCTTTTCGTTAGTCGACTAGTCGTCTGGAATAAAATCCTTGCCTGTCATTGTACTGACAGTCGACTGTAGCTTGTCAAGTCAGTGACCGTAGTCTAGAGATAGTCGTCTTGGGCACGTGGTACCCAAACTTCCAAAGGGCCAAACCGTAGATTATTAAAAAATAAAAATTAGGCCAAACTAAAGAAGGTGTGTGGTTCGACTCACCCGACCGACCGTACAATTTCAGCCCGACCGTAACTTTTTTTCGGCGGGCTGTCGTGTGACTGACGTACGTGGACTGAACACGTCCACGTCTACGTGCTGTGTGGCGTGAGTCTGCGGACGCAGGCGGCTCCTTTTGGACTTGACTTGTAGTTGTACTGCAGTGCAGTGCAGTGAGTGGTACGACTGCTGCCTTGTGCTGGTAGTAGAGTCTACTCGATACGCGTATACAGTGTATTTACATGTACTAAAAAATATATTAAAAAAAAAAAAAATCCGCCCGCCCGCCCGTAAAAAAAATGTCCATGTTAGTCGAACCACACACCTTCTTTAGTTTGGCCTTAATAGGTTCACAGGTTCATGATGTCGTAGATCTACATGTACCTGTGTACATGTACCATGTACATGTACCAGGGCAGGTGTACTGCTGGGTACGACTCCCGGGGGATCCCCTCAGCCCTGGACCCTGGCCGGCGCCGCGGCCTGGCCCGGATCGCGACCACGTGTTTGATTCAAAACAAAAATATTTTTAGTTTTGAATGGTGGTTGCATATGCGCATACTTTAAATAGTGCAGGCACGCTTTCTGGAGTGTCGATATCTGCTTCACAAGCTTCGCATGCAAAGAATTAGAACGTGTTTAGTCTGTCAGCAGCACACTCCACCAGCATGGATGGAGGAAAGAGAGGAGTGAAGCGGCCACATTCTCAATCTGAAATTATTTCATGCGAGGACGACCGTGACATGAAAACTCAAGCCTTTCTCGAATGGTCACAGCTATTTCAGCTGAATCCAAAGGTAGCGTATTGCTTTACTGCTTACTCATGGCTATGGGCTTTTGTTTATCTCTTTGTCTGTCAAATCCTATACAGTGAAACCTCGTTAGTCCATGCATAGAAAAATAAAGGGGAACTTCTAGCTTTTGGCCATAAATGGGTCCAACTTCGGATTTTTATATATTTTTTGCAATGAATTGGGAAAAACCATGAAAATACAGGCCGTTTGAATCCACTTGCAACAGACTGTCAGTACATTGTGTGGTTCGAATCCCAGTCGAGGTACCTTTTTTGAAGAAAAAAAAGTAAAGTTCACACATCCGCGTTACCACCGGCTATACAATTATGTTGAAGAACAAAACCAGCTTGGGAAGTTTTGCTTGTGTCAGACCACCACCATGCCTGTTATACCAAAGCGGCAGATGCAGTGCCTAGCGGCGAGGGCGAGGTGGTACGTCTCACAAACCTCGTTAGCTGCATCCATGTTACCCTTACTCCGAGTAGTGAGTACTGCAATTCCACAAATTTTCGGTGTACTTTTATTTTCGGTACCTAAAATTTCAATACACCGAACAAACACCAACACACATAATCCAATAGGGAACTGCTTCTCTGTACCTAAAATTTCTGTTCACCTAACCTGTCCCTTTGCCCTCATACCGAAAATATTGAGCACCGAAAATTTCTGAAATAAGAGTACCCAGTTGACCGTGGATGTCGACGCAGTTCATTGTATGTACTTGGTAGAGTGGTTCACGCATGCATCACATGCATCACCACATTTGTTAGCACAGTACATACTACCTGCTGCCAGCGCGAGTCTCGAACTCGGGACCTTGTGATTCGCAGGCAACCCCACAATCACTCGGCCAAAGTGCTGGGTCCTTTTTCAAATTTCACGGCACTGCAATGTGTACGATAAAATCACCATCATCATCATCAAAAGATAATTATGGGAGCTTGCCAGGGCCTAAGCCGATCTTTGAGGAATGGACTGTAAGTGCATGTAGAACGATGATGAGATAAACTTTCTCTTTTAATAAAGGAACTTACGGTAATATTACAGGGTGCGACAGAGCTCTCGGCCATTGAAGAAAATGTGGAAAGTCAACTTCCCCTCTACGCTGCGCTCTCAGCCGACCCTCCTGCACACAACCATCACCACTGCGAGGACACTTCCGTAGACGATATTGATAACTCCTTCAGACAGCTGTTTCGCTAATACGTAGCTCATCAGTGAAGATATTCAATGACAAAAGATATATAAGACCAAACTGGTATTATCAAGAGTACATAACCCCCCCCCAGAGTGTGCAACTCCCACATACCCTGTTGTCCCGACAGAATTTCAAGTTGACGTCATTATTTATGACGCAATGCTCCTTGCAGCAGTGATTTACAACATGTGTACGGGTGTCAACGCATCACACGTTTTTCTTTGCAATAATTTGTACAGGATCGATCGGCTTCGGTCAACCACAGGTTCCGGATTCGTCTGATAATCCGTGTACAGTGCGCATTGCATCATCAAAATGACGTCAACTTGAAATTCTGTCGGGACAGCCCCCATAGTGGAGTTGCACACTCTGGGGGGTTATGTACTCTTGGTATTATATAGCGTTTTTCACGTACAAAACTGGCATAGCCGCGGTGATAACGCGGGAAAAGGAAAGTGTGAAGTACTGTTGACGCGCATGGAACTTGCATGCAGCGTCAGAAATTCGGCGCGGAAAATCAATCTTTTTACCATCCGAATACTCGCACGGCAGTGTCAAGCTGTTGTTCAGACGCCCCTGCGGGAGTGGGCATAATTCTATCGAAATCTTTACCCACATATGTTCATGGTCTTTTGTTTAAAATCCCTTCGATTTATTTGAGGAGAGTGGCTAGTTCCTCAGATTTCAGTATTTTCTTACCGAGGGATTTCTCAAGGTGTTCACAAACCCCTGCCATGCATGAAGGTAACTGCACAATTAATCGCCATACAATACCCTTTGTAGCAAGAGTCGAGAATACAATAGCATCCTGATCACAACTTTATTGTCGCTGCAGTGAAACCTGTCTACAGTCCATTCATTGGAAACTGGCACCCTAACTTTTTGGTGTCTCCCTCACATAGTTGTACATATCGTGAAAACGACAGCACATCCTGCACTATGTGAACCATGCAATTACTCCTTACCACATTTGAGGCCAGAAAAGTCCAAGAACAGGGAAATAGAAATTCAGCCAGGTTTTACAAAATTAGGACAGGTATGCCATGGCAAAATGTATGGAGAAGCAGATCCTAAACCCAGATTTTTGAGATTTAAAGTGGGTTTTTGATCCTCAATTCGGCCCAAATCCGACTTTCAAAAGCCAGC